CAGGGATGGTGGGAGCCCCTCATAATGGGCACAGCAGGTGTACAGACCCGGGAACTCAGCACAGGGATGGTGGGGACCCCTCATAATGGGCACAGCAGGTGTACAGACCCGGGAACTCAGCTCAGGGATGGTGGGAGCCCCTCATAATGGGGACAGCAGGTGTACAGACCCAGGAACTCAGCACAGGGATGGTGGGAACCCCTCATAAGAAGTACAGTTGCAGTATTACATTACAGCCATGGACAGGAGGAGCATCTCATTGACCAATGTGACAGTACATCTTTCTTGTCAGCCCCATGACAGTGTGACCATTCAGCAACCCCCGCCACCCCCCCATTTACAATAACTCTTAGCATATACATTCATGATAAATACATTTTATTAGGTACAGAGTCCATATGTCCCAGCAGCTCGGCACTCCTCCAGTGTGCTGCCATGACCGATGGGAGAGGAGGGCTCCAAAAACATGGCCATCAGTGCAAGAAGGGTACAGTCCACTGGAAGAATCCAGATCACCATGGCCGCCCAGCTTTTGAAAGCCCTTCTGAGACTATATACAGACAAAACAGCTAAAACCGACACAAGACAGCGAGCAGCTGGGGGCGGTTCCAGCGCTCAGTTCACCGGTATCATTATGGAGGAGACGGCGCCCCCTGCTGCTGGGACACAACTAGCCAGGCGCAGGCAGAGTGCAGGTGGCGAGAACCACACCAGTGTTGGGACTTTGAAGTGGGCGGCAAATTATGACCCCCTTCTAGAGAGGTGGGCGTCCTGCCTGCAGGGGGCGGGGTTTCAGCCCCCGCTGCGTGTACAAGTTCTGACTGGCCGGCGGCTTGTCTTCCGGCTCTCATACAGTTCACGCTCACTTCTGCCGCTTGTAGATCTTGCGAGCAAGGCCCAGGAAGATCTCCTTGGACAGGCCATTGGCATGCTGGGAGATCAGAGTCTGCAGCCGCCGGTAGCTCTCCTCCTCGTACTGCGCGTAGACCGCCGACAGGTCCAAATTCTCGTAGAGCTGCTTTACCCGCTGGACCTTCTCTGTCACGTCCTGGCCATAGTTCTCCTGCAGGGCACAGAAGGCAAAGGGTTCATTCTACAATCTGCCAATTGGAATTAAAGGCTGGGGATGGGGGGACACCCCACTGACCAATCAGGAGCAGAGCCTAGGTACAGGTAACAAACATCCCCACCCACCAATCAGGAGCAGAACCTAGGTTCGGGTCACCAACACCGTCCCCCTCACCACTCTGGACTAGAGCCTGATGACAAGTACCACCCCTCCTCCCCCTGCTCACAAAAAAATCAGAACCCAGGGATGAGTAACACCCCCTCCTTTCTCTGCCCACCAATCAGGACCAAAAGCCAGAGATCAGTTCTCCTCCATCAAGGGTGTATCTCATTTACCTCCAAGGTCTTCCTCTGCACCGGATTGACCCTCTTCAGGGCCTCAACCACCAGCCAGCCGCATTTATTGTCCTGGATGTCCGTTCCAATCTTCCCCGTCACAGCGGGGTCCCCGTAACAGTCCAGATAGTCATCCTGTACAGGAAGCCAGAGGATCATATCAGCCAAGAAACTAGCATTTTCAGGAAGAAGAACGCAAAAGGCAGTCATCATATTTGGCTCACGGCAGGTTTACCAGAACTAGAAAGGTTTAGGGAAAGCAACAGAACTCCACCATTGGTCATTCCTGGAGAAAGTGGCCCCACCCACACACCAAAAAGCACCTCCCCCCACCTGATGCTCACCTGGATCTGGAAAAACTCTCCCATTTCCAGCAGGATGGTCCTGGCGTTGCCGTGTTCTTCCTCACCGTCTATGCCGGCCTGGAGGATGAGAGGTATATGAGGAGGTTTGACAGGACATATACACCATAGGCTGTGGTGCAGCACTCAGGTCTAGGGAGGGAAGGAAAGGTTTCCACCTCCAGATCAGAGCCGGAACTCACCATGAACATGGCGGCAGCCACGGGAAGGTAGAAGGAGTAAAATGCTGTCTTGTATTTCACAATGGATTTATACCTGTCAGGAGAAGCGGGAAATATAAATAGGGCCCAATCACACCAGCAACATCTGTCAGCTGACCAAGAGGACCAATGACAGCAAAGACATCAAGGCGAGCGCCAGCCCTCAATAAGACATAAGCAGAAGACTGAGAGTCTCTCACCTGGTCTCTGTGTATCTGTCCAAATCCACCTTCCCCGGCTGAGAGGTGATGAGGTCCAGAGCCTGACCCAACTCCGTCTGGTAGGAGGTCTGTGAGAGCAGAGCGAGAGGAGGCATGAGAAGGAGAGCGAGAGGAGGCATGAGAAGACAATGAATAGCAAGAGGAGACATGAAGGGAGAGACGAGCAGAGCCATAAGGGGAGCAAGAGTAAGGTGTTATATGAGGGAAGAGAGAGGACAGAGCGATGGTTCAAGCGAGAGGACAGAGACAGTATACAGGACACAGACAGGGGAAGACAGTCACCTCCAGGAAGAGCTCCAGTAGATTCAGGTAATATGGTTGCCGGCGGCAATACTTCCTCAGCACGCGGTATATACACGCCTCCAGCAGGAAGGAATCATTGATGGCATCCAACCCGATACCAGCCTGTGCCAGAACACAACAGAATGAGAACCACATGGGAGAACCCATTATCATCCATCCCCCCCAAACCCCACTTCTACTCATCATCTCCCCTCTACCAATCATCATCCACCGCCCCCTATCATCTCTACCCATGATCATTCATGACCCTACTCCCCTCATCATAATGGTCACCTGACCTCTACCCATCATCTGCCACCACCACCTCCTCAACGTCATCTGCCCTCTACCCATCATCTTCCACCACCACCCCTCATCTGCCCTCTACCACCCATCACCCCTCATCTGCCCTCTACCACCCCCTCATCATCTGTCCATCACCCCTCATCATCTGCCCTCTACCCATCTTTGGCCACCCCCTCATCATCCACCCCATAATTATCTTCCCTCTACCCAAATTAGCCATCTAGCCAACATTAATTACTGCCCATCATCTGCCCCCCAGTCTCCTTCAGCCCTCACCTATTGCTGCCCCATAATGAAAGTTGGGGCACAATCATCCCCACCCACTCAGCACGTCACCTGTTTGTACCAGCATGGCTGGCCACGGCGGGTCACAGAATTGTCCATGATGTCATCGGCCACCAGGAAGAAAGCCTGGAGCTGGAGAAGGACAGAGGGGGAACCTGACCTGCCACACCCGGCACAGCGCACTCACCAGCTCCACACACCAGCCCACTGCCAGCGCCCTCTGGATGTTGCCGTCCTTTTGCAGTTCAGGTCCCACCAGTTCCCGGAAGGCAGCCAGGACCGTCATCCCTCGATTACACTTCCCCCCCGGGGTGTTGTACTCCAGGACCTGCAGGGGAGGGACACGGTCACATGACAAGGCAGGGCACAATGGGAAGGCTCGGGGAAAGGGGTGCAGACTTACCCGTCGTAGGCGTGAAATGGCATCCCCGATCTCTGGGTGACCCCAATCCTCCGCCGTCAGATCCTGGACTATTGTCTGGAAGAAACCGGAGAACTCCTGGCGCTCACCGGACGCCTCAGAGGACTTTGTGCCGCTCATCGTACGGATCTGAAGGCGGGAAAACATCGTCATTACTCTACAGAGGCCGACACAAACCAATCGTATTGTAATCAGTCTACCGCCTAAGTGTCATCCCCATCCCCACTGTGCACAGCCCTTCAACTGCCGACAGGACCCTCCAGAAGCCAGACATCCCTCCAATCAGAGAGAGGTACCGCCCCCTTGACATCCCTCCAACCAGAGAGAGGTACCGCCCCCCCCACATCCCTCCAACCAGAGAGAGGTACCGCCCCCCCGACATCCAATGTTGCTGACATACAGCAACATGTTACCTGAGCTGGACATTGAAAGGTTCTTCCATACACTGACAGACATCACTGTACCCCCGCTTACTGCAGGATACCTCCCCACCCCTTATACTGGGCGGAGTCTAACATGACACATTGGATTGAGTCGATGACGTTACATAAAACAGGTACAGTGTAGACGCACCGGAAGTCCGGGACGCTCATCCCGGAAGCAGCTCCGCTCCCCATACAGCCCAGAGGGTCCCGGTGATCGGTACGGGGTAGTTCTCCATTGAGCGAAGGTGGGCGGAGCCGCGGCGCCCAGCAGGGGGTGGAGCCTCACCAAGCGGCTTCGCAGCAGGAGGAAAAAAAAAACATGGGAGATGACGCAGTAATCCTTCCCAGCATCCCTTTAAAAAAAAAAAAAGGACCTGTCTACCAATCACAGCACGGGGAGTGCTATCATGTGATTGGCTATCAGTCCCCGTGTTTGGGTCGGAGATGGCCGCAATCATAATTGCTACTCAAATTCTGCTACAGGTATCACATGGCCCAATCAGAGCCTCCCGTCACCACTGGAGGGGGCAGAGCCATCACAGCCTGTGTCACTGCCCCGCCCCCACATGAAAAAGTATGTTGAGTCTAGTTCTGGATGAAGCGTAGGGAAAAGGGACTCCAGGCTGTCGGTATAAAGAAAGTATGGAGGGGATCAGTCACCCCCATGACAGGAGTGATACCTTTGCCCCACCCACAGGGGGGAGTATTATATATCAACCCCACTAAGTGATTCCTCACCACAGCTCAGTCATTACCATCCACACACTGGGCAGCAGAAGCTCATTGGTTGCTATGGAACCACTTTGGAGGAGCTTGCCTGATACCCTCTATAGAAAGATTTCCCTTACCCCTAAATCGTAGCAGTTGCTATGGTCACCAGGACCACGCTATACCCAACATCCCCATCACTCACCTGGTCCAAGTTTCACCAAACCAGTCCTCGTCCATCTCCCGGACTCTTCATATATATATAGCCGGCTTCTCCTGTCCCTGCCCCCTCATCGCAGTGCATGTTGGGAGAGTAGTACTTTCGGCGCCTTCCCTCTATTCTCCTCACGCACAGCGCACTGCATTTCCCGTCACCCCTCGCGATCGCGTGCTCCCTCACCTCACCGCGTCTGATTGGTCCGTCACATGGTATCAGGATGGGCCGCGGCCGACCCTGCCAATCGCCTGCATCAGCCCTTTCCGAGACCACGCCCGCCCGCGGGAGGCACCCATTCACTGCCGGACTGAGTGTGAGCTGCCTGGATTACATGATATGTGTGGATTGGGGTGATGGTAAAGTGTACAGAGTACCCTAATGGGGAGGAGCCAATAATGTGCAGAGCCCCCCCTCCCTTATGTGCTATATTATTAACAATGACCAAGAGGGCAAACCACATTGTGCACCCCAACTGAGGGTCATCCCAACCGAGGGTCATCGAACCGAGCACCCCAACCGAGGGTTATCGAAACCGAGCACCCCAACCGAGGGTCATCGAAACCGAGCACCCCAACCAAGGGTCATCGAAACCGAGCAACCCAACCGAGGGTCATCGAAACCGAGCACCCCAACCAAGGGTCATCGAAACCGAGCACCCCAACCGAGGGTCATCGAAACCGAGACCCCCATCGAAACCGAGCAACCCAACCGAGGGTCATCGAAACCGAGCACCCCAACCAAGGGTCATCGAAACCGAGCACCCCAACCGAGGGTCATTCTATACTAGGTACCCTGACAAGGGGTCACCAGACACCGAGCACCCTGGATGAGGGTCACGTGGCACCAAGCACCCTAACTGAGGGTCCCCTGATACTGACTACCCCAAATGAGGGTCAGTTGATTCCGAGCGTCCCGATTTAGGGTCACTTGACATTAGGTTACATGATACTGAGTTCTCCGATTGAGGTTAACGTAACACCAAGCAAACCGGATGAGGGTCACCTGATACCGAGTACCCTGATTAAGGGTCACCTGACACCGAGCACCCCGAATGAGGGTCACCTGACACCGAGCACCCCGAATGAGGGTCACCTGACACCGAGCACATTAAATATAAGGGTCACCTGACACTGAGCACCCTAAATATGAGGGTCACCTGATACTAAGCACCCTGAATTAAGGGTGACCTGACACTGAGCACCCTGAATAAGGGTCACCTGACTAAGCACCCTGAATTAAGGGTGACCTGACACTGAGCACCCTGAATAAGGGTCACCTGACACCGAGCACCCTGAATTAAGGGTCACCTGACACTGAGCATCCTGAATAAGGGTCAGCTGACACTGAGCACCCTGAATAAGGGTCACCTGACACCGAGCACACTAAATATAAGGGTCACCTAACACTGAGCATCCTGAATAATGGTCAGCTGACACTGAGCACCCTGAATAAGGGTCACCTGACACCGAGCACACTAAATATAAGGGTCACCTGACACTGAGCACCCTCAATAAGGGTCACCTGACACTGAGCACCCTAAATATGAGGGTCACCTGATACTGAGCACCCTGAATAAGGGTCACCTGACACCAAGCACCCTGAATTAAGGGTCACCTGACACTGAGCACCCTGAATTAGGGTCACCTGACACCTAGCACCCTGAATTAAGGGTCACCTGACACTGAGCACCCTGAATTAAGGGTCACCTGACACGGAGCACCCTGAATGAGGGTCACCTGAAACTGAGCACCCTAAATATAAGGGTCACCTGACACTGAGCAGCCTGAATAAGGGTCACCTGACACTGAGCATCCTGAATAAGGGTCAGCTGACACTGAGCACCCAAAATAAGGGTCACCTGACACCGAGAACCCCCAATGGGAGTTACCTAACAATAAGCACCCCCCTGGACATGGTTCATCCCAACCTTGTTTAATATCTGCACCAACTTTATATCTATTTACTAAGACTCGGTCCCACAATTGATGATGACCCCCCTCCCCCCGGGTACCCCTGCCTGGCTGAGAACAGCAGACGGAAGCGGGTACATCAATTGTCTGCACTCCCCATGTACATCGGATCAGCACATTGTACAGGCAGTGTTGTGTGTTGGGTGCTGGGGGGTGCATTGGGGTGCCATTCAAATGAACAGCAACACACGTAGTGCACGGTAACTTACTACAGTATTGTATAGTCCTCATAGAGGCCGGCGGTGAGATCTGTCTGGGGGCGGGGCCATACACCTTACAATCTGACTGTACAACCAATTATAGATCTACCAAAGCTGTGTAATACGAGGACTGGGGTTGCCACCTGTTTTGGAGTCTGGTGTCCGGGTGTCCAGCCACAACACCGGCACTATCAATTCTTTGACAGGTGCGGCTGCCGAGGTCCCAGACGAGCTCGATGTAGGCAACCGCATCTGTCATTGCCTTCTCCTCATCCTCCCGCTCCCTGACACCATGCTGACCGCCTGAGGAACCCTGGTGAGACACCAAAGCCCAGACAGCCCACCCGAGAGTCGCACCGCCCACCCGAGAGTCGCACCGCACAGAGGGAGATCCGGTTTCTGGCAGATGTGGCCACCCGAGATCACGCTTGCCGAATACCTGGGCAACCGCATCTGTCATTGCCTTCTCCTCATCCTCCCGCTCCCTGACACCATGCTGACCGCCTGAGGAACCCTGGTGAGACACCAAAGCCCAGACAGCCCACCCGAGAGTCGCACCGCCCACCCGAGAGTCGCACCGCCCACCCGAGAGTCGCACCGCCCACCCGAGAGGCGCACAGCCCACCTGAGAGTCGCACAGCCCTCATGAGAGTCGCACA